CCCCCCAGGTCTCCCGACTCCCCACGTGGGGCTCTTCCACGGTTCCTTTAAGGGCCTGGAGGCTCTGGAATTCCCTGAGCCTGGAACATTAGAGATCCAAAGACGAGGGTTCCGCCTTAAGTGGGAGACTGAGCTCTACCCCTCCCTCCCCACGCTCCACTGTCCCTAAGTCACAGGTCTCCTCCCTCCCCCAACCCAGTGAGCGTGTCTGCTTCCAGGCCCCTACCGTAGAGCTTGGCGGTAATGGTGGCCCCGTGGCGGGGGCTGAATTTCTTGCTCAGGATGATGGCGTACTCGTCATAGTTGGTATGGACCACATAGGACTCTATGGTGACATTCCACTCTGCAAGGGAGAGGCCAGAAGGCAAAGGGCTCAGCGGCCAGAAGGCTCTTCTAGCCTGAGACCCTTCACCCGTTCACCCACACATCTGCTCAGCCATCGCATCTGCCCATCCCTCCCATGAACTCGATTATTCACCATCCATCGCCTCTGGCTAGTCACCATTAGTTCACCCACCGCGGCTCCATCCCTCCATCTTCTCCATATATCAGTCCATAAATGTATCATTTTCCTTCCTCCCTCCTTCCTTCCTTTCTTCTTTCCCTCCTTTCTTCCTTCTTTCTTCCATCCTTTAAATCATCAATTTATCTATTAGATGATTGATTAATTCACCTATCTGCCACCCATACATATGCATATTCATTTACCAAACATTTCTTTAGTCTCTTATTGATCCAACCATCCATCTACCTGAACATTCACATACTCACTGCCTAACACAATTAGTTGACACCCAGGGCATGTTCAATAAACAGATGCTGGATAAGCGAATAAATTCATGTCCAAGTCCCTCTATCACCCAGCACCACGCACTCTGTTCAGGGCAGATGCTTAGCAAATGTTATCAGCTGACATGAAGGCTGATGGTGTCTTGATGGCATCCTCACATTCACACCATCACTCTAGTTCTGGGTGAGCACGTACATGAGGAGGGGGGAGGGAGACAGAGGAGGAATCTAGAGGGAGGCTAGATGACATCTCAGAAAAGTGGGAGGGAAGGTTGGGGGGTGGAGAACTGAGACAGAAGGAAAGAGGGCTGAAGACATCAAGGTGTTGTTTAGCGAAGGAGAGAACCATGGATGGCTCCTTTGACTCAACTTACTGGATTTGTGATAGAGGAACTTTCCATCGGTGTCTGTTTTCTCATACGCCCCAGAGATCTCCTCACAGACGCCTCTCCTGGAAACAAACAAATCAAAAGGAAGGTAAATTCTGGTAGAGACCGTGGTCCTGACACCCGACTTCTCCTTCCTTATGTTTCCAGTAGGAGAAACATGGTGCAAAGGCTGAGAGGTACGAGAGAATGAAGGATTCCAGGAGCTGAAAGAAGGCCCACTTGGGTGGG